GTATGGGATAGTTTCACATAGATTCTTAAAAGTATGTGCTACATTTGACAGCAAACATGAATGTTATAAGAGAATGAATACGGTTTTTATCAAGAACGTGTTTGCTACGGTCATAAAAGTCCCACAATGACATAAATGTCACTAGCAAATGTGAGAAATGGATAGCAGAGTTTTAAAAAAAGAATTTTATTTAATCAGCAAATCAAAATCACTACGAATTTATGCCTCTCTGTTATCACCAATATCACTAATATCACATTCTTCCTTCCTTGGCATTCTTGTTTCCGCGCAGTTAACGGTAATAGCGTTTGGAATGATCTGTTTTCATGGAATTCGAATTAGGATTATTGATCTGGCAAGCGATTGAAGGAAATAAGCTACCGTCAAGAATGCGGCAATGTCTCGATCAGACTTTATTTGTGCAGGGTTTGGTGGAAAGTAAGAAAGGTGATTATTGTCAATGAATAGTTTTTGCTTAACTGTTGATGGTAATGCTGAACTGATTAATTATGACTGTCATAAAGTGAAACAGTCAAAGTCATGATCGCATTGGTAACATTAAGAAATATGTTAATATGTAAGGAATTCGTAATTCGATAATTGCATTCATTGTATTTGTTTGAATGTGAGTAAGTGTTTGTGTGTGTGTGTGTGAAGCATTTTGAGGCTTTTTATTTATTAGTTGAGGAGCGGTATTTGAAAGAGAAATTAATTTATTGCAATTGTCACGGCGTTGTGTGTGGTATTTTAATCGTATGTATGTATATACCACCGCATTGCAAAACGATTAATAAACGGAATTATTCATCGTTCCAGTAATCGGTTTGTTTTTTTGATCGCATTTACATTGGTAAGAAATATAGTTTTGGATTAATTTGCAGAATCATTTTGCATTGAAAACGAATTCATAATATTAGCAACAGTGAGCATGCATGTAAATGACCGCAAAAAATGGTATATTGTACGTCGTATGGTTTCTAATATGCGATCAAATCACACATAAATATCATTTGACCATTTTTTTTCATCTGACGGCGGTATCGTTTGAGCATGATTTGTTGGAGAAACGTAAGTGAGTGGATCATGTTATCGTTCGTGTTTTTCGGAGGTTATTCAGAGGGCAAGGTTGCTGTGCGCACTCTATTCGTTCGGGTTTTTATCGTTTTGATAATAACAGTGAGATGACGAGAAGGGGATAGCGATGAAAATGAAATATGAATGATTAAAGGAATCAGTGGAAAAGGAAGTGTAGCGCATGGAGAGAAGAACGTATGGAAATGATACGTAATAGGCACATCAAGGTGACTTGAATGGGTCAAAACGAAGATTTTTTGCGCAGAAATGCTGATGGCTAACTTATTTTTGTCGTAATCATTAAGATTTTTGTTATTCTACTTTAGATTCCGATTTTGATTGACTATTGCTTTCATTTTCTGAAGCGTTGAAGTGATGGATAGACATATTTTTGTCATGTACAGTAGATATTTAGATTGAGAGTAGAAAAGTTATAGTTATGATGAATGCAAAAGAATGACATTTCATGAAACGGTTTGAAGAACGCATACATTTACATGTTTTACCCCGAATTGAGCTCAGTATCTTCATTGCGATTCAGTTTTCTGCGATTGTGCGGTAAGTGGTGGACTCGGTTCACTGACTAGGTGGGCCACCGGGTGACAATGCTCACAGCAGGAGGTCAGCCGGGGCATTATTAATGAGGATGGAATTTGGTCAAGCGAAGATAAATGATCACAGAGACGTGTGCATGACTTATGGACATTAAAGATAATAGTCATGGTTGAATGTGTTGCGATGATCATTAGTGATCATTGGAATGAGAATGAACATTAATCAAAATTTGATTTGAATTGTATTGGAAGTGAAATTATTCGAGTGCATGCCTGAAATTCAAGTAGTCTCATATTTGATTTAAGTTAGCTCTGAACGAGTACCCAGATTCGATGCTGAATATTCTTGGGTTCATTTTTTGGTTCCCATTTTGGTTTCAGTTTCAAGCTCTTTCCAAAAAAAAACAATGGACATATATATTGAATTCCCTGTTTTTCTGTTGCGAAGAGGAAGATTCAAACGAGCTGCATTTGACTGCATTTGTTATGATCATTGTAGAAGTTCTTCAAATTCATCACTGTAAAATACGACCTGAAATTTTTTTTTCTTTGCGACTCGCAAATGTCTCAACTAAATGATTGACGCCACTCAGAGTGTTTGCTAAATTGCACCTGTCGTTTGCAAATTCCATTTTTTTGGAGTGGAAAAGAGAGGGATTCTGATCTTAAATCTCACAAAAACATTTGAATATCAATGAAAAAGATTTTTTTTAAAAAGCGAAGAAGATTGATGTGATGGCAAGTAAGTGATCACTGAAAGGAGCCATTTAACTGTCTACTTACAAAAAGTCGTCGATCCATCTTATTCACTCGCCATCGATGGAGACTAAGCTGGTACGGGTAACCGTGCACCCAAATTTGAGACTGCTGAATCCACAGTAGCATTGGATTGTTTTTTTTTTGTAACTGGATGACAGTTGTTTTTTGTTGTCATGTATAAAAATAAATGAGTTTAGTGTGGATCGTTTAAGATAACTTAAAAGGATGTCTGTTTGCATTATTCCTATGTTCACTTCTGATAACGCTGTTTATTTATTGATCATTCCCCCGTTTGGCAACAGACTTCATTAATAGTGAATCGTGCCTCGATGACATATCCTCTTTGTGTGGTAAAATGAAAGGCGATAAACCGAAAATGGATGAATGAATTGATGATTTATCGCTATCAATGTGAATGAGCATGTGTGTGTGTGTGTGTGTGTTTGTTTGTGTTCATACAAAGGCGATGGAATGGCTATAATTGGAATGATTTAGAGCAGTATGGCAAGCCAAGAACACTGTATTTATTGTGTAGAATAATTTATCTTTTATACATCCGACTAACCACAATGAGGCAAATTCAGTGAAATTATAGCTGTTCATTAACTTATTCGTGATTGAACATATTTATCTGAAAAATTGCAAGATCAGCATGAGCCGTCTGAAGTTGGTTAGATTGATAAGTCAAGTTAATGAGATTGTTCGTTGTGAGTGAGACAATATGCATGTGCACGTAACTTGAGGAATATATTAAGTGGACGTATTCTATCGCATTTTCCCGGTCAACTCATGACAGTAGAAATTGATGGAATAGCCAGGTTGTCTGCTTGAAAACCGAAAATTTCCTGAAATCGCTGAAGCCGTTGTCAAGAAAATAATCACATCAAATGTCTGACATTGCAGGTTGGAAAACGAAAACGTAAGTCGAAGGGAAGTGCGAAAACGCAAGATGTTGAAATGGCCCAGGCAGATGATGGCACCAAAGAAAGCACAAAAATCACCGAAGATGATGGTCAAGATGTACCGACGCGTGAGAAGCGAGTCCGGGGCACGAAGGCTGAAATCAGGAAGATTCCGGTTCCACCACACCGATACAGTCCATTGAAAGACAATTGGGTGAAAATATTCACGCCGATTGTCAAGCAACTTCATTTGCAAATTCGGTATTTCTTCCAGTCGTATCTCAAAAACTTTTCTGCAGCCAATAATCATATGTATGATAAATAATCTACGCTTTTTTGACAGTTTTGCCTGTTTCATTTAACGATATTGATTCATTAATTGTAAGCAAAATTTGATTGAAATTGCACAAAATTGGATTGATATAGTTGAAAAGAGTCATATTTGCTTTTTTTACTCATTGTCAGAAAAAGAATCGTATTGTTCCTGCTACATCTTGTATTGTTCCACAATTATTTGCATTCTTAGAAACAATTCACTAGGTTAATTCACCCTGAACTTCATCAAAGGAGAGTTTTTCTTAAGAGTAATTCTATGAGTTGTTCCACTCTCAGTTTCGTTGGAAAGATTGAGTGCTAGTTTTAAAAAAAGGTGCACTTATGGAACAACGAAATCGCAACATTTTGAAATAATCGTCTGTATTGTCTTGACTTAAAAAATGTTGATACAAAGCATTGGTAAATAGTATGACTGATGTCTTTGTTGGTGTTGCGTTTCAGTCATTGTTCTCCAGTTTTCAAATCATCCGAAAGCTTTGTTCAGTCGTACAAAACTCATTGTTGTTACTAGTTTTAATCGTCTACAATTCATTTCTATTGAACTGCTCATCTGTAAAATAAGACGAGCCGCGATCGATCACAACTCGTGTACCTATTGTCTGGTGTTCTAACATATAGTGGTTACTGATCGATCCATCGAAAAATGTCACGTGTAATTGATTTGAATGTTAGGCATCAGTAGAATTGTCTGTCTGCTGTTGAAATATTATTTCTGAAAAAAAACCATTTGACTCATTGCATTTGAGTGGTTTGTTTATTTATCCTTTGCTTATTTTTGAAGTACGTCTTATTACAAAATGCTAAAAAAATATTGATAAATACCTTAAAAAAAGCCAAAAAAGCGGTTGGGTTTAAAGTGGGTTACTGTTTAACGTAGAAAAGAGATTGATTGGCAGATTTTTATGCAGCTAAATTACAACGTTGTAAATTGCAAGAAGTAAATTACAAATTAGTCTTCAGGTGTTAAAACAATGGCCAACTTTTTAATGTAACAATTACTTGCGATGTTTTTTGGCTATCCATCATAATGAGTCATATTGGAAAATACTTTATTTTAAGAAGTTTGAAAGCTAATGAATTTCATCGTCTTTCTTCGGATCTTCATCATCTTATTGTTAGATCATTGGATTTTTATCGATTCATCATGTTGGGTCGTTCGAGAATTGGAGCATGATCAGACCATATTTTTAAATTTGTCAACACACTTGTCTGTACAGTCGAATTTCTTAATCCTCACACTCCTATTATAGTTCAATAGCAATGAAGTGAAGCATGGAGTGAATTAGCAGAAGATCATATTGCTTTATGCGCAAGAATGTAGCGTAGAAGAAGAGGATATGCCATTGATATTATCACATATTGATATTCATTGTCATGCAAATAAAAACACATTGGACCCTAAAAAGGAACTAAACAACAGAATGTATATAATCATTTTTAGGTTCAACTTGAAATCACGAAATGTTGAGATCCGTAATTCGACTGATTCGGATGACTTAACTAATTTGCAAAAGGTATGTTGCTTTACATCTATACTTATTGTAAAGTGTCTAGCAAATTCGTTTGGCTAGAACTGTGATGTGGTGACTGTGTTTAAATTGATACCTGGCAACGCGTTAATTCACCAGTTAATCTGTTATCAAGACCAACATTACTATTTTGCGCCTCATCTCCCTTTCTCGACGGCCCTGCAATCAGGCAAGAATTCGAAAGTCGTTATCGTAGTAAGGGTCGTTGCCATAAGGAAAATAGTGCCTCCAAGAAATAACTTGGTTTTCTTTGAATTGTCTGCGTTCAGATATATCCTAAAAATTAGCATTTGAAATCATTCATCCGTTGAAGCATTCAACAGCTACCTACGTACATGATCAGCACGTAGAATCACCTTCAATTAATCATCTGAAACATTGCTATTATCAGTGAAACGTTAGTAACGAAACAGCCTCTTGACAGCAGTCATGTATCATTTATTATGCGCCATTACATGCACGCTATCTTCATCATGCTTCTTTGAACTCATCTTATCATTGTTTTTAAGTTACGCTTTTCGATCGCCTCCTGCTGATTAAAGACTAGATTTATGAGCGAATTTCTTGCAAATGCGCTCTTCTGTTTTTATTGTAGAGGTTGATGGGATGTATTATATGTCAGATATTTGACTGTTGCGTGAATTGGAATAAAATAAATTAGCAGTCATAAATCTGGTGTAGAAAACAAGAGTGGTTATGTGTTTTTACATGATGACTTGACATGACAGTGCTTGCTCTCTTCAGTTTGCATCATTCAATGGTGTTTTTTTTCTGTTCTTTGCAAACACAGTTTTGTTTTTGGAGATGAATTGCATGGACTGAGATTACGAATACTTTGTGGTCATGCTGAAGTGATTATACGCCTAACATATCAAATTAGGTGGTTTGAATGTGATGCATGAATAGTGGGTGATTTATTTCTGGAGAAAGAATGAATGATAAATGAGCGAATGAATGAATCCATTTAAAGGGTGTGTAACAAATTAGAAGAAAATTGCGTAAATTATCGACAGATTCCGAAAATTTGTCAAAAAATATGAGAAGAGAGTAATATCTAATTGTCCGTTGCCTTTTTCCAGCTGAAAAATTTTTCAATCTTCACCGAAGTACGTTGATATGTATGCATTCATAGAGGCATTCAAGTTGAAAGGATTCAAGAGCAGATCCATAGAATATTTGTTGATTTCATGAAAATTTCAAAAATTTGGTCATTGTTTACGTCTTCAGTTGAGTAACTTTGGGAGTGGCGCTATATTCTATGTAACGTCTGGTTTTTTTTCTTTCAGGCTGCTGACTTTGTTCGGGCGTTTGTGATGGGTTTTGATGTGGACGATGCATTGGCTTTGATACGGTTGGATCATTTGTTCCTGGAAAGTTTCGAAATTAACGATGTGAAACCGTTGAAAGGTGACCATTTATCGAGGGCAATCGGTCGTATCGCAGGCAAAGATGGTCGAACAAAATTCACGATTGAGAATATCACAAAGGTATCGAATGAGACACGGTGGAAGAAGTTTGAATACGTCCCTTTTTTAGTGAACTTCCTTTTATTGCCATTGTTTGTTGTAATGTTGGTTTCGCTTTTGGGAACATGAAACTAGGCGTTTACCTGAAGAATTATTCAGTTGAAAGAGATGATTTCCTTTCGTAGGTGGCGAAGTCTTTCATGTAGATGGAATTTTTCGTTTCCAGAAAGAGGTATTCCCTTATCCGTTACTTCACGGATAAACAGTTAATATTTTGCATGTTTTGCCTCTTTCATCCTCCTTGCGGAATTTCCTTTGTAGCGGTGAAACTTTTATTCAGGAAATTAAATTCTGCCGTTGTAAAAGAACAAAAGAAGAAATTGTCCTT